CCCAGAGAAGAGATCCTTCAGCCAACTGGTCCTAAAGCTCACTGACACCAACCAGCCTCAGGACAGCACAGCTAAAACAACACAAATCAAAATCAACCAAATCACAACACAAACCAAACAACACTACCTTACCCACTGGGGCACAAACTAGAACCTGTAAACATACACACTAGCTGAATATCTGACCAGGGTAAGAAACAGAAAGGAGAAACAGATCCTGACAGCAGTACAGGCTCAGTGACCACAATCAGGCCATAGAAACTGGTCAGCACAGACACACCAGGCTGCCCAGAGAGGACAGGTTGTGTTCTCACTGGCAGTGGGGAAGAAACGGAGACAGAGGTGCACTTTCAACTGCACTGGGAGACATAATCTGGGATTAAACAAACACTCCCCCCCCCCAAAAAAAAAATCCCAGAATTCCCACACCTGCCAGAATCAGAACAGCTCCCAATCCTAGGAGAGGGGGGAGGGAATTCAACTGACACAGCCCGAGGAACAGTGAGCCTGTCTCTCAATAATATTCTAATTTCTAATATAACTTTTCAGTGCTGTACTTGTCTTATACATGTATGGAGATGTCGTATTGATTGTATATGCTTTGGCAAAACTGTAATATACCAGTCATGCCACTTAACAAATTAAACTGTTTGAATTTAAATTTACTGGTATAGAGGCACAATGTGAAGCACACACACACATCCTGGTAGTCACTGACCAAACAGACACGGGCTGAATGTAACAGCGCCTGTTGCACCACCTCACACAACGCTGCACAGCTGACCTGAGAGATATCCCTGCAAGCATCTCTCCGACACCCAGCCAGCACAGGCACAGAGACTCCGGCGGAGCCACGGCATCCCCTGGCCCTCCTTCTCTGAGGAAAAGAGTGGCTAGACCTCCGAGACAGGCAGGACGAGGGCTGTCAAATGGAATCGCTAAAAAAAGGTGGTGGTGGGGCCAATGCAGCATCAAGAGATCCTGCTGCACCACAAAAATCAGAAACACTACACTTAAACCAGCTAAACTATACTTTTAATCAGAGAGGGCCTGGGCATCTGCATTGTCAGCCCTAAGGTCTATTCTGGGTCTGTTTCAATAGAAGACCTTTTCAGTTTATATCCACACTGTTTTGCAAATATCAATGACAAATTATCTATGAGTTGTTCTAATGCTGGTAAAAGATTATTATTAATAATAATTCCTTACACTCCTCTGGACACTCCACTCAAAGCACTTTACAGGTAATGGGGACTACCCTCCACCACCACCAATGTGCAGCATCCACCTGGATGATGCGACAGCAGCCATAGTGCACCGGTACACTCACCACACACCACCCAGTTAACAGATGGGGATTATTAGGAGGCCGTGATTGGTAAAGGCCAGGGGGGAATTTGGTCACGATACCAAATTCTTCTCAAGAAACACCCTAAGATTTTTATGAGCACAGAAAGTCAGGACCTCAGTTTTACATCTCATCCGAAGGACAGTGCCCTTTTTACAGTATAGTGTCCCCGTCACTATACTGGGGCATTAGGACCCACACAGACCACAGGGTGGGCACCCCTTACTGGTCCCTTGTAAGTTGCAGGTTAATACAGATGTGTCGTCTAGCTCGATTGGGTAGCCAACTGATTCGAGGATCTGATTGGAGGATCCAAAGGCAGATTCCTGGAAAAATGTGGCAGAATCAGCTTCAGCATCACTGCTGGGTCTCCTGCCACTCTTGGTGTAAAAACGTTCCTTCGATTCTCAGTTTTAAATACACTTCCTTGAGTTGTTTGAAGTTTCTGCTGGATTCCTTCAATTTAAGAGACACCATCAGACACGCATTCTTCACATCATAATAATTTAATGACCTTATTTTAATTCCAACTGCCTTTCTTGTTCTGAATACAGGGTAGTTCACTTTGTTTACTCAGATTCTCGAGAGACATTCTCCAGACAGACCATGTGCACATCTCTAGGGAGAATTGCAACAGAACAGGAATTGACAGCATTAGCCTTAGTATACATTAAATCTTTTAAAGGTATGTGCAGACCTTGAGGTTTATTTACATCATTCATAAATAAGTGTATCTAATAAACTTATATTAATCAAATCTTTGATCCTTCAATGTGGCTATCCATGACCAAGGTTACCCACCCAAAATTACTGTATTAACCGTTTTATCTGACGTTGCTATGCATTAGATTTTTTTACTGTATTTTATTTCTGCATTTCAGTTCAAATGTTAATTTTGAATTTCCATAGAGGCAAAGTAAAATAAACCAATGTGGATAACTTTTTTAGTTCAAGAAAACTAAAAGTGTCAATGTAGAACATTTTTCAAGTCCATTGGTCGTAAGACTCCCTGAAACGGAAAATATAAAAGCAATTAAAGTTGACATCTTTATGAAGAAAACGTTTCAAGCATAAACTTTAACAGTTTGAGTTTGTGATTCTGCAATCATGGAATGAAAGGGTATAGCAAATCTCGGGAGACTTTGAGAGATGGAAGGATCGAGTGCGCAGGATGTTAGTATTTCAGGTCATGGGACCCGGAAAGCTCATCACGCAACGCCGAGGCCTTAGCGCTCCGTACTAGGCCTCGGTTGTCTCACTGGTTTTTCTATCGTTTTTCCCCAAAGCTAGTCAATAAATGTCTTTTAATCGTAGAAAAACCTTTATTTCAAACCCCATTATCGGCTGTCTTTCTTGGAGCTTACCAGCTTTAAAGTGTAACACTAATGTTAGAAAAAATAATAAACCGCACCCAGAGATCGAAAGTGTACAGAGAGCGAAATGAAGTTATTATGTGATCGGTTATAAAAAATACAGTAAAAAATATCCTCTGCCGCCGGAATAAAAACGTGGTCCGCCGTTTACCGGACTTTTCTTTCAAATGTGGAAAACTTCAAACGGAAATGGGGAGAAACGGAAACAAAACAAAAGACGGGTAATGTAAAACAGGCCGGAAATCCTGGCGAAGGTGGTATAGAGAGATTTATTAGCGAAGATCGGTGGAGAGAGGCAGACGCCAACATACTGCATTAATATACATAAACCCCCGATAGAGGGAAAAAACGAGGCCGGAAATCAGAAAGGGGTAGAAGCTTGCTGTATACTGAACAATAACACACACGGCTCTCCGGGCCGGACTGACTGCAGCACCCAGGTAAAATCACGCAAAGTGGGGAACTGTCCCGGGCCACAGGCAGGAGGAGGTCGCTTCCCTGTGTTACCATTTTTTTGTGTTACCGTCCATCGACAGCTTTGGTATTGTAACTGAGCAGACGGTGGATTTTAAACACTACCCGCTCGGTTTGTCAGCGGGTTTACAAGCAACGAGCGGTATCTGGGTGGGGAAGCGCAGACGGTGCCTGGGGAGCCTCTTTTAGCGCGAGGATGGCGAGCCAGTGCTTCAGCACAACGATGGGCATCACTATCATGTTAACCACTTTCTCAACATCTGAGAAGTTATGCATGCGAAAACTACATACCGTCACTCGAAGCAGTTGGATACGTATCGAAAGCAGCGCGATCTGTTTACCGTTTTTGTCCACAACGAACCAGGGACTTCGAATAAACCAAGCGAGTGCTTTTCTAAGGGATACTGGTTCATATTCAATACTTAACCAAATGGGTATCACGGTAGTCTGTGGTCGGTATGTGCCTGACAAACTCAAAACAGATTAGGCAAGCCTGTGCATTACAGCGCGGCACATCCCTGTGCTGGGATACCAAGAACTTGTGGGAACCCCCTAGGTTTTTTTAAGCACTGCATTGAGTCTCTTAACTGCGCTTAAGCCACACATTTAGTAAACTCCAGCATCGAATCAAGGTCTAGAAAACCACAAAATTACCGTTTAACAGTATCGGGCGCCTAGTGTACCTACCTTCAGAACGAGCCTCTAGCTGGTTGCGTTATTCAGACACCACAGTGCCGCTCGTCAGTCTCTGAAAGCTGTGCTTAAACTGGTCGGCCTGAATTGGGGAAGGGACGGGGGGAGGGGGTTGAGAGAACCGTGTCCATTAAAATATACCGTAATAATAAAAATCTAAATTTCTTTTAAAAGATTGAATGAGCACCGGGGGTCTATTAATCTTTCGAGATTCAGATAAATGTGGATTACCATTACTCGTACCTTAGAAAGGTATATTGAGACGATGCAGTAGAATTGGACTACATCTCCCGAAGGCCTTTGCGTTGTCTCGTGTTTGTCAAATTAGTAGTGTTCCACTTCCACGATGGCGCCTGTAGTCCTTTAAAAATACGAGATACAAATATTAATTAGGTCCTGAACATTACGAAAATTATAATCAATAAAGAAGCGCTGGTAAAAATGTAAACGCAATGCAATTGTATGTGTTTTTAAGCAACTTAAAAATGTTGTGCATAGGAGCAAATAAAATGTCTTTCCGGTGATTTTTTTTACTACCCAGAGTGCTCTGCTCCTTGAAGTCCGCCATTGCTCGGAGCGCGCAGAGGAGTGTCAAGTACAAGGTGACTGAGTTTTTATTTCTTTATTCGCCTGCTTTGGCCGCTGTCACGGCTGATGCACAGAGCGGAGCGAGTACGCACAGCGCGTTGGTGTTCATTTATTGAAGAGCTGGGGAAGAACTGATTGCCGGGGTTGGTTCTCTCGGGGAAGGCAAGGTGACTGAAGGGAGTCCGGACTGGGCTGCTCCGCATTCCCAACCAGAGAAGCAGGGGTTTGCGGGAGTTACTGTAATGCTGGTTATTACATTGCATGT